AGTACAAATTCTTCGTTTGTGATGGATTATAAACTAACTACTACCCAAGTTAACAAATATTTAACATTATAAGGAACTCGAAGGAAACCGACAATCCACATGTCTACATATTTATTTTAAAAAATAAAAATAATAGGAGTCAAATAAAAACATCTTATGTGCTGAAAAAATCGTGAAAGACACTAATTTTTATAGGGAGTTTACTTTGTAGTTGAGAAGTGAAGAAATAAAGAGAGAAAAAAAAAAGTAGTTAAATTTTCTTTGGAGTTTGGAGGTGATTACATCCTTACAGTTAATTAAGGATATTATTGTCTCGAAAAAATAAAAACAAAAGTAAAATATATCTACTTTATTAATAAATAAAAAAGCACTTTATACTTCTATATATTTATATTTTAAAAGATTTTGGTAGAATATGTTTATAGTAAAATAAAATTTTAAAATTGGTATTTCTTTTGTTGTGAATAGTGAGAAATTTTAAAAAACTATAGGGAGTAAAAGCGTCTAATATGTATGCCATGAAAATTATCTTTTTTAGCAAAGTTTTAATAATTTGATTGGAAAATTTGATAGATTGATTTTACAATAAATAAATCGTTACTTCAAATACTTGATAAAAGTTAGACAAGCATTAGTGTGTTCTTTACTTTCAGTCCATAATTTTATGAATTTTGTATTAATTTGTTGACACATTATATACTTTAATTTAATTGTCGCAAGGTTACATATATTTGCTAGAGTCTTCAAATTTGAAAACTTCAATTTAATCTATAACCTGGGTTGTTTTTCTTTAGAACTTAAGGAGGAATATTAAAGGGGTAAAATCAAAGTCAAACCATAATTATAAATACTAAGAGGCCAAGTCTATTGTAAGGAAGTAATAATTATTTTTTCTCTTATTGCAGAAAATTAAGCTTATATTGAAAGTGGTAACTACATTAAATAATTCATATTCTAACATCTATAATACACTACATGCTAAATATTTATTATAAAATTAAAGTTTATAATTAAATATTGTGTTTAGACATATAATTTATATTTTTTATTAGTGAGAAAGTATATAATTTATATAAATAAATTTTTTAACATATAAATTATATTTTAGATTTATGATAAATAACTTGTAGTGTAAGACAATATTATTTTTACTAATTAAATCATTTATTCTAAAAATATTAAATTTAATTCATAAATAATGATAATAAATTAAATAAATTAAATAAGAAGTTAAATTTTTTTAAGAAAATATCTCTTTGTTGATAAAAGAAAATAAGTCTTTAAAAATATTCCCATATAATATAACTACCTATATTTAATATATAGAAGTTGATATATTCTCAAATAAAAAGTAAAAATCATCAATAATGAATTATATAATAATTAGGTAGTAACAAGCATTTTATTAGTTGAGTTAAAAAGTATGTCAGAAATTTTAAATATATCCATTTACGTGTATATATCTAAACATGTACTGCGAAAGTCAATTTTATAATAAAATAGGTGTTTTTACCAAATAAAATAGTTTATGTTAGAACTGAGAAATGAGACAAGATTATTAAACTGGTACTAATTGAGGTCAAATAAAATGCGAAGGTAGGTGGTAGATACAATCGCGATTGGACCAATTATAGTCCGTGGAAACAAAATGGCATATTATTGGACTTTAAAATATTGTTTGAAATAAAATTTTGATTCTAATAGTGAAAATATAATAATTAATCGTTCTAAAAAAAATCCTAGCTAAATAATCTAGAATCGTAAAGAGTAAAAACGTACTACCAAATTAAATAAGTAAAAGAAAGATAAGTTACATCTCTATTTTTTCCTCAGAGACAAATTTTCTATATTTTAACTTCTTTAAATATCTTAAAATAATTAATAATATCTTGTATTTAAAAAAAAATTCTTAACATTATTTTAGAATTTGGTACAGTTTCATACATTAAGATGACACTAATAACTCAAAAAGGGAGTTTCATAAAAACAAAGACTCCAATTTTGATTAGTGGATGGTTCTGGATTTTGGTTGGGAACTTTACTCTACAGCATGGCCTATCAGCATATCAGCAGAAAAGAGGAAAATTCCAATATCAGCATATATCAGCATTTTGAATTCACAGAAATCATGAAGAAGAAAATTTCATCTTATTATTGATCAACTCACTCTCAATGTATAATTTTTATTGTTTAAATACAAAAGCTAGAATTATTAGCTTAAAAATAGAAAATGGTTAAGAAAATAACCAAAAAAATATTTTACTAAATTGATTAAATAAAAATATTAACAGAATAAATTAATATAACGGATTAAAGTGTTAATCTTAATATGCGCATACTTCAGCAGAAAAGTTACACAATTCATGATATATACATTTCTCAATATCAATAATACACTTTTATTATATTTTTTTTAAAAAAAGATACTCTTAATTTTTTATTTTTCAATTTAATTTATCGAATTTACAAACTCCTCATTATTTTCAATATTCAATTTTTTTTCAAACACTTAACCCCCTCCTTGATCCTTGTTGTCAATGTTTAATTTTTTTTCCTTATACTCACCTCTTTCAAGTGAACTCTTTTTCCATCTTTTAGAGTTTCAAAACGAACTAAAATTTTAAAATGGTAATTTTTCTTCAAAAACAAAATTTTAAGATTCTCGTATATCATTTCTTTTAAAGTCACCTTACTTTTGAATATTACTTTTAGTGTTTTGAAAAAGAAAGGGGCATAATAATTTTATAATTGTGGAAAGTATTTTTTTGGAAGTTTTTTCTTTTTTACATACTTCCAAAACACTAAAGAATAGGAGAAGGAAGATGAAGGACTGAAAAAGATAATTTTAAAAAAAGTTATTTAAACAGGAAATTAATTAAAATTATATTTTGGGAATTTTTTTAAACGAGAAAAAAGAAAAAGGGAGCATACTTATAAATAAATAAGGTGTATATTTACTTACAAAATTAATTTTTGAAATTGAATGTTAAAAATAAGAGAGCATGAAAGAGGGTGCATGTGAAAGGAGGGTAAATATTAAAAAAAAAACTGAATATTAAAAAGAAGAAGATTTGTAAAGTCAAGAAATTAAAAAAAAATATTAAAGATATTTATAAAAAAAATAATAAAAGTATATTATTGATATAAAGAGATTTATATATCATGAGTAAAATCTACATATAATTCTAAAACTATTGTAAGCTATATAATGTTTGTCCGAATGGAAGAATAATTGTTCTAAATATTTACTAATTTTTTTGATAGTTATAATCTAGTTAAAGAATCTTACTACTTTTATAGAAAGAAAAAAAAAACTTCAACTCGATATTTTAATTAAGAGGATGGACAATTATACTCATATTAATGTTGATATCTAAATGAATGAATATTTAATAAATGTTGATATCTATATTAATATTTAATGGATGCAGATGTGGATGGGTGCAGGTGTAATCGGGTGTGTATAGAAATGCTGTATTATAATTTTTTTTTTTTATTTCTTTACATTAAATTGTTAGATTTACAATTTTTTTTTCATTTTTTCTTGATTCATTATTATTTAAATTTTTAGATTTTCTTTCTTAAAGTTATGATCAAGATTAAAATTCAAAATACAATTATAGAATAAAAACAGAGAAAAATATAATAAGAGTACTTGATGGTTGTCTAACTTAAAATCTTTTCACATATCATTTTAGAAAGTACAACTCCAAATTACATCAACTATATCAACTTATAAATGATTATTCTGTATGAAAGTATTTTTAGGGTTATTCTTCAAAGAGATAATTTTTAAGAATTATTTTAATTTTTTTTATCTAATTTAATTTCATATTTATTTATGAATTAAATTTTAATATTTTAAAAATAAATTAATAATAGATAAAAATAATTATGTACCATAATATAAATTATTTATTTTAAATTTTAAATATAATTTATATATTTAATAAAATTTATACTATATTTTTACAATTTTTGTTTTAATAAAAATTATTTATAAGCACCTTACACTCCACTTGTAATTTCACAATCCCAAACACTAGAGCTTTAGAAAGTAATGAATGTAAAAAGATTTCAACTTTTCTTACCAGGACTGATCACTCCGGTGACAATTTTTTATAATTTTTATCCCTTATTTTTAATAGACACCTACCGTCAGAGTTGCTCTTAGTCACCAAAATACATAATATTTTAAAGGCTTAAATATGTTTTTAGTCCCTCAAATTTAAGACAAATTTGTTTTTGGTCCCTCAAATTTAAAACTGTTGTTTTTAGTCCCTGTAATTTTTAAAAATCTTATTTTAGTCCTTTAGGTCACCAATAACATATTTAAAAATGACTAATTAATACAGTTATGCAATATCAACCAGATTTAATGTGATATTTTCACTGATAAGGATACTAATAAGTAAATTTTATGCAATAATGTTTGATAAATTTCTTAACAAAATTTGAATATAAGGACTAAAATAATATTTTTTGAAATTACAAGGACTAAAAACAACAATTTTAAATTTGAGGGACCAAAAACAGAATTACCCTAAATTTGAGGGACTAAAAACATATTTAATCCTATTATAAATTATAATTATATATAATAAATATTTAACTTATGAAATGCAAATACTAAAATATAGGTATAAATAATTCAAAAATTCAACACACTGATAAGATGAACCAAGTCAACATCTTATGGATGACATGTGTATTAAAAAGAAATTTTTTTTAAAACTAAATTATTTTTCTATATATTCAGCTTTTTTATTTATGATAATATAAACAAGATAAGAAAAGAAGGGGGAAAAAAAAAACAACATATATTTATGTTGGTTCATATCAATAATAATTGACACTATGCTTAACCATCGGTAATCAAGACTTTCACTTTGAATATATAAATAACCTAATCAATAGGAAAAAAGAGGGGTCCGAATTCTCTTTGTTTTTTTTTTTTAAGAACGGAGAGAGAACAAAATTCTATGTAGCCCTGAATTTATTATTTTATATATAAATGAATTTCTTTTATCAAAAACTACACCCTTTGTTACTAAGTCAACTCTAATAGTTACATATAATAAATATTAATATATGATGTTGCGGAGTCCAAAAATAAATAATAACAGATATGAATATGAACAATCAAAAAGAGCATGCAGAAACAAATCAATTGAATTGCATGAGCTTTGGAGCAAATCTCAGGAGTCTATCCAAAGCATGAGGTGTGAATTTCCTAGCAAACAAATGACAAACATTGGTGGCATGTCCATTGTACTCACAAGAGCTTCCATACCTTAACTTGTTCAAAAATTCATAAGTCACATCATATCTGTTATACCTAGAAGGATGAGCTCCACCCTTTTTCCAATCAACCCATGTCAAAGTCCTGTTAGAGTTCTTCTTCCAAAATTTGATACTCACAAATGTTGGCAAGTAGTGTTCATCACTATAGCAACTAGGTTTGCAGTGCTTTTGGAACACTGGGAAATAACGATCGTCAGAGACTATTTGTAGGGCAAGAAAACGGTTTATTTGAAACCATTGGGAGCCCTTTCTCCATTGTGAGAGTGTAATTTGGGGCCTCATTTTGGGGCTATACCTGCCACGGCCCACGTCACCTGGCAGATCATAGGCCTCCACAAAGGTTTCGGTTGAGTCCATTAGGTAAGTGTAGATTGTGGAGAAATTAAACAAAGGGATGCATGACTCTGAGAGTAACACAAAACGTTGGTTGGAGTAATCAAGGAGTGCATTGGCTAGTAGGCGTCTCTCTGCCTCTATCATGCTATTCTCACCCCACTTTACCTCCTGCATGTCATAAGATAAAATCATGTTATGAAATCTAGAAACAAATAATTAAGAAAATGAATTATGAAACTAACTCAATCTTACAAAACTTATTTGTTAGGTGAGAATTATTTCTTACTTATATGAACTACTTTTATTATTTCTGTTAAAATGTGATACAAACTTCTAGAATAAGCTAGATTATTCTAGAAAAATACATAAGTATATGTTAGTAACTACTACATACAAATTCTAGAATTATGTAGACAATTATATATAGATAGAAAATTCTATAATAGATATATCTAGAATTTTTTACATAATACATGAATGGTTGTGTTGAGGCCTATAAATAGGTCATGTACTCAACATTTGTATTAAAGCAACTAGTAAGTCATTTTCACTACTCAAATCTATTCCAATTATTTCTCTAAGCTAGTTTCCTCTCAACTAAGCCTATCAATATAAATTTTGTCTCCCCATTCTTTCTACCAATCAAATAAATTTTTACTATTTGATAATTCATAAATTAACAATTTCACTAGTTAATATTAAATCTCCAACATATTTTCTTCATGTTATATCGAGAACTAAACATATCAAATATGAAGTTTGCAAAATTAAATATTTGTAAATGCTATAATAATGGTCCAATAGTAGGTAATTTAAGAAGTTCAACAATATAGTTAATAACTACAATAGATTTTGACACCATCATAGAGTTATGGATATAATTCAACCTTATAAAATTAGTTTGTAAGCCAGAAATTATTCTCTAATTATATATTATTATGATCGTCTTAGTAGAAATGAAATCTCAAACACAAATTAAAAGGGAAAAAATATATGGATATATAAGTTCATATTTAAGAGAGTAAAATAATTAGATCAGAAGAAAATAAATACAAAGATATGTAAGTCGACATCTAGAAATTTGAGGGCCACCGACTCACTCTTATACATTACTAAACACGGCTCATACGTAAAGTAAAATCTTGGTCTTACAACTGCATACTCATATTATAGTGTATAATTTGAATATATATTGTATCTATATGCTCTAAAGTTTTTGAAGTTAATATATGTTTCCTGTATATAAACATAATTGAAATAGTAAAAAGATACATTTTATTATTTTGTCTTCAGATTCGTTTTTGCATGCGGGAGACAAAGTACGTGAAGAAAGGAATTATGAAAAGTTTGATGGCTTAAAAAGTGAGTTTTAGAAATGAAGAATAGAATTTTCTTGGTAGTGCAAAAGGAGTGGAATCTAAGAAAAGTATGACCAGTTTGCATTGACAGCTTCCGGAAGCAACCAAAAAAAGCAAAACAAATGGACATTCATTAGATTCAGTATAATATTGATATAGATTATATGTATCCACTGCAAGAAAAAGAAGAAGAAAAAACATTAAGCATAGAAACTCTAATCGGGAGAGGGAGGAATTCAAATCCTCTTTGTCTCATGCAGTTAACCAGAAAGAAACTCATGGAATTGTTAAATAATAAATATTACTATAATTAACTAAAATATCGGCATATTGCAGTTAATTTGAAATGAAAAAAGCATAAGCTGTCTCATTCTAATATATATATATATATATGGTATGACATCAAAAGATCTTAATTAAAGGTATTGGGGTTAATCTTTTGCAGCCTTTTAGCTGGGGTCTGAATTGTTGTTCTCTAGTCTAAACTCTTCTCACAAGCAATCTTCTTTTGCTGACATGTGAACATATATAACCCCAGATCAATAAGGTCACTAAGGCTACTAGTGACCTTAATTACACAGTTAAGAAAATTCATAACAATGTGTGCAACTTTCAATGGTAGAAACTTAATTACACATAACCACATAACAAAGTGCCTACTAGTGGTTCAGGTTCATGCTGATAGCGGTGTTTCACAGTTAGCAGGACGTGCTTGTGAAGTAATATATTTTATAACAGGACGTGCTTAGATTGATAGATTAAGTACACTAATAGATGCCTACCAACAATATTTTCAAGATAATCCTATGTGTGAAGAAATACCGATACTGAATTTCTTCTTCAGACCTAGAAAGTTGAGAATAGAATGTGAAATTAAAATCGTTATAGTAGCGGCATTGACATAAGTCATAACACATGAACGCTAGGGAAATCATCGTGATGACAACCATTAGTAAGGCACATTAAGGGGACACTCGATCGTCTCTAACATCATAAGCTTCTTTGTGTTTTACCCAAAAAATAAAACTGTAAAAATATGAACAGTTTCTCTATTCCACCTTGTAGATGGATTGGTAGAAGAAAAAAAATAAATGCTATACTTTCTCGAACACTCTGACTAAGATTTTTTCTATTATTAGCTGAATACATTAAAATTTATGATTTTTAAAAATTTCAACTACCGATAAAAACAATGTTAAAAATAGTGTTAGAAGAAGTGTCTTAAAATCAAATGTCCTATAACATTTTTTTCCTTTTATAATTTCAAGGTTGGGGGAGCCGTACTTTAACCTTCCAAGTCCTCCCTCTATGATTTCTAGTTTTATATATCCTTAATTAAAGGGAACAGATCACTTGGTGAATGTTTGGGTTAAAATTTACAAACATAAGTTTGAATCAAAAGTACATTGTAAACTCAAGTTTGATAAAAATGAGCTTATTATAATGTGATTTATATTTGGACTTTGAACATTTTTTGTTCAAATTAAATTACATTGATAAAATGAAATTTGTTTTGGATAATACTAAAATCAAAAGTACTTTTACTTGATGTTGCACATGAAAAAATACTGAACTAAAAACTGAACTTTCATAAGCAACCAGACGCTATGCACTATGAACTTAAACGTTTAGTATTAACTTTTGTGGAAAATTTATTTCCAAACATAATAAAAAAAAACTGAGTTTACCAATCCAAAAGTATGTTGGAGGAGTCCTAAAAGTCATCAATGGAATTCCACAAGGTAAATGAAATTGGAAAATTAGTAGCGGAAGAAAGTTAAACCCTATATATTTTTGGGGCAAAATCAGTGGTTGCACGGACTGTAAATGTGATTTATGAACCATGAAAGGATCATTTAGTATAAGTAATCTTTCAGCAAGGATCATTTGATATTTTAAATTGGATGCACTACATTAAATAACTCTTTTGAATTTGGTTCAAATTGAAGTGTAAAATTCATATATTGTGGTTGGAGGATTGGGGCATCATTCCTATTGGATGTTTGAAATCATTGAAATCTAGGAGTAAGGTATTATTGTAATTTTGAGGGGAAAAAGCTAGATGAAGGTCTCAACTAAAAGGTTGCAAGCTATCATGTCTTATATATAGACTAGAAATTAATCTGAAGACTAGAGAGAGGAAAAAAAAAAAAAAAGCAATTCATCTCTTAAAAATGACAAAATTAAGGTGTGTATAAACTTATTACCTTGCTGGGGATATTGCGGCCATGAAACACAGAGCTTTCAGGCACTGTTCCATCGAAAGAAGGGTGAGAATGGACGTAGATAGAATACAACCCTTCATTTCCTTTGAAGAATCTTTCCCATAGAGGAGCCAATAGCACAGCACCTTTTGTCAGAAACATAAATGCAACCTTTGGTGTCTGTTTGAATGGCAGTTTACGAACCATGTGAACCATGGAGGCTCTCCACAACAACTCTTCATCACTCATATCATGCATGGCCATGGGGGGCTCCAAGAATTCCCTCAACCCAATTCTGGTGAAGTTGGTCGTTACCCTTTTGCTTATCAAGGGAGAATCATCATCAGAAGAAGGTTTGGTTTGGTTATTTTCTTTGGATGAACATGGAGTATCTGATATCTGATGGTGAGAGACTAATTCCTCGACGTACCCAGATTCATTTTTTGTTTGGTTATTCGATATTAATAATGAGATGTTGGAGGAGATTGGAGGAAACTCGGGAGAGGGAGAGAAAGGTGGTGATCTCATCATGAGGCTATTGGATGATAAGAGGGGGAATTGTTGGATTTGAAAGTTGGTGAGGGAGAAGTTCTTGACAAAGAAAATGAGTGAGATACCAATGAGTAAACCACACCCAAATACTAGAGCATGGGAAATGAAGCTGAGAAGGTCTAATTGAGCACTGAAGAGTTTCAGATATGAGGATGCACTTTTGTCTTGTTGCTCCTTGTTCTTCATGGTGATGTTGAAAAATTAAGAATAAGATTGGAAGAATATTGGTGTTGCTAGAAGTTAATATTACAGATTGTTGTGTACCACTGATGTGTATTAATTGAGTTCTTATACAGTGAGAGAAATGGAGCATCCATGATGCTTGATTCTGGACTCAAACAGATACTTAAATTGATCCAAAAACAATACCTATATTCCGCACTTTACATGAGCTGGGACAGAAAAAGTTGAGTTGTATTCATTTTTTGACAGTTTATAGATGGATGTGAACTGTACATGCATGTACACGCAATTGAACATTAATCTAGTAAGAAGTGCACGTTTTGTTTTGTTGAATAAAATAAGGAATGGTTACGAAACATATATGCAACAAAGTTTGTCCCTCGTTAAACTTTTACTTTAACTTTAATGCGTATATTCGGTATATGAATGAATGTTAATCAACTTGATTATTCTCAATTTTACCGCGGTTGGGATGGAAATGTATATTCTAATTTCTATGCTTAGCAAAATAAATTTAGTTTCTTCTTTTGAAATGAAGTTTCTCAATTTGAGATTTTTTATTCTCTCCAGAGTAAATATTTACCATCAAAATTTTATATTTTATTATTATTTAAATTTTTCTTTCTTATTTTTAATTAAGAGTTTAAATTTTATTAGACAAAAATGTCACATGAGAAAATCTAAGTCATTTTCCTTTAATATATAGGATAAAAATAGGTTAAACCATTCTATAAAAGTCAAAGATCTAGCCTACATTAAGTAGTAAGTTTCAAGTTAGGCCAAAACTTTTATTAATGTCTATTTAAGAACATGTATTAGATTGAGATTTTATAAGATCATATTAATATCAAAAGATTTTGTGAATTTTAAAAGATTTTGTAGGAATATAATGACTTTCAGAAAAACTTTAAAAAATTTCATAGGAATGTGTTAGTTTTTTTAAAAGATACATGTTTATAATCAAAATTTTGTGATATAGATTTTAACAGATTTATATCAAAAGAATTTATAAGATTTTAAATAATTTTATTAGATTACTAAGGATAATATGAATTTTTTTAAAAATATAACACTGTATACTAGAGTAAAATATTTCTCACTCTCTTTTCTTTTGTGTTGTTTTCTTATGAATTTTGCATGTAATCATGAACATGGTGCTGAGAATGTCAATGATAAGACTTAGTCCGCAATGTTGAATTTTGCTCTGATAGGATATGTGATGTCAGGGAATTAGTTAGGACTAGTTAGCATTTGATTTATATTATTTACTTTGAGTAGTTTAACTTCAATTCCTTTAAAATTTAATATTTTTATTAAGTCTAGTTTATGTTAAAATGTGATTCTCTATACTTGTGTGAACTTTAAGTTTATTTATTAGATTGAGATTATTCAGTTTTATATTATATTATGGCATGCGGGGTAAAAGGTGTTACATTTTTGCTTTATTTAATGAATTGCAAAATCTTCTAGTGGAAGTAAAAAAGAGCTTAGTGGTAATGGTCTTCTAAGTTAACCAAGAGAGAGAATGTGTGTTAACGTGACAATTAATTGTAACTAGATATAATAGAAGGATTAACTTGCATAATAAAGTTAAAATTTAAGAATCTAAATGTCACAAAAAAAAAATTCCAAGGACCTATTAGTCATCTCTATCATCTTTCATGGATCAAATTAAGTATTTATTTAATAAAATAATTTTTTTAAAATCTTTTGAAATTTTAATCTACTACACCCCTTAGTTAAAAAAAAAAGAAGAAGAAGATTATAGACCATTTAAAATACCTATTTGACCTATCAGGTCAGCCTATTTAAATGAAAATATATTATATATATATATGTATATATGTTTTTTTTTATTATTATTATATCAACGTTATTATAAAGTATTAAAATCATACATTTTTCTTTTTTTAAAATGTTAAGCACGTTGAGTTATATAAAAAAGTATAACTTATAAGTTTATTGAAATATCAATTTATAACTTACTTAGAATTCTAATAATAAAATGTTTTTAAATAAATTATCATCATAATTATTATATTAGACCTTAAAAATATACTTATATTATATAAACAAGTTTGATTCAATTTTTATAAAAGCTACAATGTCCACTTTTATTGTTATCTTGGTGCTAAATTATGCAAAATAGACTATTATACATACTTGTAAGTCATGCCAGTTTTTCACATATAGGACAAGCTAGACATTTAAAAAAAGACCTAAACAAGTTGAGCTTAATGACCATGTATTTCCAACCAAAGTCAAATACAAATCTAACATTAACAATGCCTACTTAGCCTAACTTATTTCTACTTCTATTATTTTGTAAAGAAACATGTAGTTTCTGGCTAATAGTATTGAATAATGATTTTTTTTTTTAATTTTTATATATAAACAAGTTTGTTGAAGAAGTTGTGTACATTGGTAAATAAAATAGAATTTAATTTTAATGCATTGTTTGGCGTAATTTTTTTTTTTTTTTACTTTCAACCAACAAAAAATTATTATATTCATAAATATTTTTTAGTTTAAATATATTTTTAGTCCCTCAAATATAGATAAATTTATTTTTAGTCCCTTAAATTTAAAATTATTATTTTTAGTCCCTATAATTTTCATAAATCTTGATTTAATCTCTTAAATCACCAATAACATATTAATATATCTAAAAGTGACAAATTAAGATGGTTATACAATATTAATTAGATTTAATATGATATTTTTACTAAAAGAGATACTAATAAGTAGATTTTATGCAATAATATTTCATAAATTTCTTAACAAAATTTGAATATATATAAGAACAAAAATAATTTTTTTTTAAATTACAGAGACTAAAAAATACAATTTTAAATTTGAGGGGCCAAAAACAAATTTACCCTAAATTTAAGGGACTAAAAACATATTTAAGTCATATTTTTGAAAATATTTATACATGTTACCTGAGAATCAATTATTTTCATTGCATTAAAAAGGAAAATAAGATAACATTACATTTTTATTGGAATAAGACTCTCCTTTTTACTAAAAAAATTTGATTCTCACCTATTTTATGAGAACAATTTCATGGAAAACATAAGTGAAAACTATTCCTAGAAAAAATTGTTTCTTGAAAATAATATTTTTTAATTAATATACAAAAAGTAGGAAGTTTAACTTTAGACTCCTTAAAAAAAGTAAAAAAGAATATTGTTACAAATGTCTCCGATAGTAATGTATGTTAAAATTAATTTTTTAATTGAATCACAATAATTGTATTTGATAATAAAAATAAAACCATGAAACTTTTTTATATTTTATCTTATTATATAAAGTTATTAATATTTGAAAGAGTTTTTCTTTCAAAAAAATGTTGCTCAAATTTAAAAAGAATTTTGGAGAGTATATTAGATTCAGATTTTATAAAATTATTTTAGGACAAAAAAAGTTTTGTCAAATTTTAAAAACTTTACAAAAATGTAATGATTTGGTGAATTTTTTTTTTTTGGAAAGATTTTGTAAGAATGTAATAACTTTTAAAAATTGAAATTTTTTTATAATCAATATTATGTAATATAAATTTTAATAAATATATATCACAACAATTTATAAAATTTAAAAGAATTTAATGAGATTTAAAAGAACAATATGAATTTCATTAATTAGATTTCATTCTAAAATTAATTACAATTAATTATTTATTAAAATTGTACATAATAACTAATTATGAGGTACAAATAAATTATTTGATCAAAATAATTAGCGATAATAGTTGTACACACTACTAGAATTTTTCTTATTACATGCGACTTTTTTCTATAAATTTTTATGAAAAATTTGCACGAAATGTTGTTCTTACGAATTTTTCTGCGAAATTTATCTGCAGCCTGCAGGTAATACCTTCGTGGATAATATATTTTTGTCAATTTTAAAATTTGCAAGAAATTTTCCTGCAAAATTTCTTGCAAAAGAAATTTGCAGGAAAGTTTCCTGCAAAAAAAAATTCGCAGGAAATTTTCCTGCAAATTTTTTCGCAAGAAATTCTGCAGGAATATTTTTTACAAAAAAAAAATAAAAAAATTACTATAAATTCTATCAATAATTCTTCAACTTTCAAATGCTCACAATGAAATCATCCGAAACATTTGTTTCCATGCCTCCAACATGTGATGTGATACATAATCTTTTAAATTCTAAGATTGTAGATTATAAGCTTAACACTCAACCATACAAATCAACTTGTAAGGTAAGTGTTGCCCCAACTTATATACTCTTTAATTGTTTTATTTTCAATCAATGTGGGACTTGAAGTTTTTTTTAAAATATTAAACTTATAAATTTGAATATTTTTTTTATTTTTCCTGTGGATTAAAATTAGCAGGAAAAGCCGCAGAAAAAGTTACCTGCAAAATTTTTCTACCATTTAATAAATATTATTTGCGAATTTATTTTTGCAAGAAATAAAATAAAATTCTTACAATATTTTCTACAAATTTTTACCATGGAAAAAAATTCTATGATCATTAAAATTGTAGTAAAATTTGCAAAAATTTATTGTAAATTATTTTTCGTAAAAAAATTTATAAGAAATATCTGTAAATTATTTTTCGCAAATAAATTCGTAAAAAAAATTTGCGAAATTATTATTGCAAGAAAATTCATAAAAAATTTCTGCGAATATTTTTTTTAAAGAAAATTCGCAAAAAAAAATGACATTTTTCTAGTAGTGACATGTAAAATTTTTTATGACTTTATTTGAATGGTAGTATATCTTATTATATAATGTTTTGAACATTTTGAAGAATTTTCTCTCCCAGAAAAAAGTTTGTTCAAATTTATGAACAATTTAGTTAACTATTTTTACTTAATAAAATATTAATAATAATATTTTATTATAAAATTAATTACAATTAGTTTTTTATTAAAATTTTACATAGTGACAAATTATGAGATACAAATAATTATTATATTATAAATAAATCTTATTATATAAAGTTGTAAACATTTGGAAAAAAATTCTCAAAATAAATTCACTCAAATCTTATAGGGGTGTATTGGATTAGGATTTTAAAGGACT